AAAATTAATAATAAATAATAAATTATTTAATTTAATAAAAAGAAATATTATCTTTATTTTTAACTAAAATTTAATATAAAAAAAATAACTCATAAAATCAGTAATGGTAAATTATAAGATTATTTACTTTTTTTTAAATGATTTTTGATCATTTTGACTTGAAATTTATAATAAAAATGATGTTATTTGAGGTTATTTAAGGTCATTTCAAGATTATTTGCCAACACTATATAAAATAGGTTATTGATTATACTGAAAATCTTTTTAAATTTATAAATATTATTAAAAGAATAAGTTTGATTCTACTATATTTTATAATAAAATAAAAATTATAATAGAAATAGAAGATAATTTTTATTATATATAGATATAATAATATAAAAAATTTTATCTTTTATAAATTTAAAAAAATTTAAAAAAAATATCTTATAATTTGATATTAATAAAAGTTAAAAAACTGTTAATATGTTTAAAAAGAATAAAATATTTTATCAAATATAAAGAATAAAATAAATATTTTTATTTTTAATTTATTTATATTTATCTATTATAATAAATTTATAATATTAATATGCCTTTATTTATATAAAATAATTGTATAAATTTGAGAAGAAATTAATAAGATTTTTAATATATTTTTTTTAGAAATTGATTCTTATTCTTTAATAATTATTTTTTTTAACTTTTGAATATTAGATGATTTAGATTTATATTTTTAAAGTTCAAATTTAATAATTGACTAAAGTTTCTTAATAAAATTATATTAAAACTTTAAGATAACTAAAATAAATATTTTATTTTACTTGAATAAAGAAAATTTTATGCAATTTTGCTATATATGCTAATACATTATCTTCTTAAAAAATAAGCTTTTTTTAACTTTGTGATTATTTTTTAATGATTAGCATAACATAAGCTTTAAGAATTCATTTTAGATTTCTATTAGTAACAGAACTAATTAATAGAATATTAGGTTTAAGATTAAACTATGAAAAATAACTTTAAAATATTCATTTAAAATTATATTTTATGATTGAGATGATATAATTTTATTAAATTTTTTATCAGATTTTTACCAAATTTAGTTCTAACTTGAAGTCTAAAACTGAAAAAAAGTAGATTTATCTAACTACTTTTTTCAGTTAATCATTATCTAATATTTTTATTTTATAAAAACAACTCTTTTGACTTTATTTACAGAAGAAATTAATAGTTTTAAATAAAACATACATGATTGAATGCCTTCTATACTTAATGTTTTTAAATGGTTTGCTTAAATGCTTTTTTTTATTTTGAAAAACTTTAATGCCTAGAAATTTTATTATTAAGAATAACTTTTGTCAACTTTTTTATTTTTGTATAATCATGATATAATATAATTGTTACCTTACAATATTTATCTTTAGATGCTATGCTTATAGATTAATCTTTCAAAGATAATGTGATACTTGTTTATTATAGATCAGTTCTATTAATCAAAGATTTTAAATTTAATTGATTTATAATATATTAAATTACTTATAATTATCAAAAAAATTTAGTAATTAAATAACTTTAAAAGACATATTTTAGAAGTTATGATCTATTCATGTATAAAATTTGTATATATTACATAAAATTTATTTATAAAATAAATTAGTAAGTTATTATCAACTGAGACGGATATTAGAAACTAGAAACTGAAATTACTATATTTCTCCGAAAATAAGCAACTACATTAAATAAGCAACGTGACCGATTTTTTGCAAATAAAAGTTATTGCTTATTTTCGTAGAAATACGGTATATAAATTCTCCCTTTTTTACTGACGTTCTCCCAATATGATACTGTAGATTTTTATTTTTTTATTTACAGTTATTATTATCAATTCAAAGAACCAATTCCTATTTCATGATTTAAAAAATCTCTTGATTTTTGATTTTTATTTTTTTTCTTTAATATAAATAAAAGAAATAAAATTCATATATATAATCGTACGAAAATATTAAATTTTTTCGATATAAATAATTTTTTTTTGTTGAAATTATATAAATAAATGAAAAAAAGATGGAATAGACTATTAAATAACTAAAGGGAATGGGGGAAAAACCTAATTTTAAATTATGATAGAAAGGAGATGAATAAATTGAAATTATAATAATAAAAAATAAGGAGTGTAATATAAATATAACTATTTCTAATAAATAGATAAAAAGTTAAGTAAATAATAATCAGAATAATAAAATATGAAATGATGTGAAGCCAACGCGGTAAAAGAACTTATTTGTAAAATGAATGTGCAAAGATTGTTTAAAATTTCGTTTAACCTTGCTTTTCCGAGGTAAATAATGGTAATATAAATTTTTTGTTAATATTATATATATGTAAAGAAATGATAGCATAAGTCCGGCACTAAAAATAAAATAACTTAGAATAACCCCAAAATATTTCTTATATGAAGATATATATATTTTTTTTCCTTATTTCTTGTTACCCATTGACTTCGGTCGAAGACCTAGAAGAACCCGATAACCCATGAACTAATTTACGCAACCCTCTACGTCCATTAATACTACCACCGCCAAAAGCAAAACCATATGAAATTGGAGAAGACGATTCTATGCTACTATCAGGCTCAGCAGTAAAAGTAACCGATTTTTTCTTATTATTTTTGTTGTGATTTAATTCTAAATCGTTTAAATTATTAATTTCTTGATTATTAAGATTAATATTTCCTTTGTTGCTCTCATCTTTATTTATCAATTTATTTTTTCCTTTTATTATCGTGGAATTTGTGAGGCCTTTGAAAAATGAACCTAATCTCTCAAAATCAGGTAAAATATTGACAAAAGGATGATCAATTTCTTCATCTCCTGCAGTCGGAGTATATTCTTCATGACTTATTTCGTAATCATCGGATCGTAGAATGCTTACGTGAAAAGGTGAATAGTCTTCCATCTTTGATTCTTTATCCCTTATTATGCTCCTTGTTGAGTAGTGGCGACTGAACGAGTTAGAGGGTCGTCGATTGTAGCTTGATCTTTGGAATTGGTGGGCGGCCTATAAGTCAGTATTGTTTATTATTGCGTTTTTATCACATGAAATTCCTTATTTTTTTGTCTAGTGAACCTTTAATTTTACATCTTATCTGTATACAAAAAATCATTGCACCATCTCAAAGATACATTAGAATTAAAATACTCACAAGTCATCAAAGTCCGTTTCATAATCATCTTCATTTACTTCACTTGTTACAAATCTTTCATGTGGATTACGAGGTTTATTCAATGATGAATTATGTTCCTCCTCATAAATAGATGTATTCCTTTGACTTTCAGTGGTAGATAATTCAACTGAAGACTCATCTAAATTCACAGAATATGCGGTTCTAGATGAATCGGTTACTTGCCCATCATCACCATCGTCATCATCGTCGTCATCAACGGTGAAGATAAGATGATTTGCTTGGTCCTGGTTTATCAACCCTTTAGCAAGCGCTACTTCCGTAGCTGCTCGACGTTTTCTTTCAATTTCTTCTTCCTCTAAACGCCTAGCCTCCTCTTCTTCCGCAGCTAATTGTGCATCGGTTGCTTGATCATATTTGGTCTATGTAAATAAAATAAATTCAGCCTTGTGTTAGAAAACATGTATAGTACCGAGATAAAAGATACCTATCGAAAACCCATTTTAACAAAAATATCGTAACTCGGCAGAAACCCCCAACATTATTTTTTTAAAAAAACCGAAACGTGATTGAATTTTATGTTTATAAAATAATTGGTTTTACCACAAAACTTGTCGAAAACAATATATAACCGATATATAATATATATATATATATTATATACATATTATTTACTATATTTATCAAGTATTCCCTTTAAAAAAAAAAAAATAAAAAAAAATAAAATAAAATAAAATAAAATAAAAAAATAAAAACCAACTATAAATAATAAACAGATTGAAATTCCTTTACAAATATCAAATTTTTTTTTTGTTGAGCTCATTTAAAATGTTCTTATTCGAATATATGTTTTTTTTTTAGAAAAAAAAAGTAAAAGATGATTTTTTCTCTTACCTGTTCATTAACTACTAATTCTGTAAATTTACTAATTTGCTCATCAGGCAAAAACACCGCATCCTGAGTTTGTAAGTTATCTTCATCGTCCAATAAATTATTTGTCGAGGCTAAGGTTTCTTCATTAGGTGGTACCATGTTATCAATTCTTACATATTCTGAACCACCAGCACCAGGCCTCTGAAATGGAGTACGTGAAAGAAACGCTGCTATAGATTCAGGATTTTGTTCCGCCAGCAAGCTTTCAAATTCTCTGTTATCCTCGTCGTCATAAGAATAATGGTCAAATGGTGGTTGTGAATTTCGAAATGGAAGACAAGGACAATTTTTATTTAAACAAGCCCACATTTTTCACTTGATTTTTTTTTCTGTTAAAATAATACAGTAACCAAGTCTGGTATATAATCAAGAACAAAAAAAATTACTCGTTATATTGTAATTAAAGAAATTTAAAGAATGTAAAAAATTAGATATTCCTTAAAAAATGAAGAAAATTTGAAAAATTGATAAATTTTATTGAATTATCTATATATACTTTTTTTTTTTACTTTAAACATGTGAGGTTGCATCCTTAAAATCCCATAAATCCCATAAAGATGAAAGTTGAGTTTTTGATAGATGATGATGTGACTAAGTAATTCGTGTCACTCATTCACTTTTTCCTTATTTGGATTAGTTGATATTTATCCCTAAAAAAAAAACTCGAAATTTTATGACTAATTAGTGATTATTATATTTATTTTATCATTATATATTACTTTTTTCGTAAAAATTTTTCACATATACCCCCGAATTTCCTTTTTTTTCCTTTTTTTTTTTTTTTTAAAAAAAAAATTTTTTTAAAGTATTATTAAAAAAACTTTCACTCTTGTTTTTACTTTTTTTTTTTGCACATTTTTCATTTTTTACTTTTTTACTTTTTTTTACAAAATAACCTAAAGATATGGCTCGTACTAAGGTATAAACCTTTTTTAAAAAATTGTTCCTTCTGTTTCATAATCACTTTTAAGAAAAGGAGCTCATCACAAATTTGATTTATAGCAAACCGCCCGTAAAAGCACCGGAGGAAAAGCCCCCAGAAAACAACTTGCCACCAAAGCTGCCCGTAAATCAGCCCCAGCTACAGGTGGGGTCAAAAAACCTCATCGTTATAGACCTGGTACCGTAGCTTTGCGTGAAATTCGACGTTATCAAAAGTCTACTGAACTTTTGATCCGCAAGTTACCTTTCCAGCGACTTGTTCGTGAGATCGCTCAAGATTTTAAAACAGATTTACGTTTTCAATCTAGTGCTATTGGCGCTCTTCAAGAAGTAAGATATTTTTATACATAATGTTTACAAATTTACGTCATGAAAATAATCTCTCAAATCGTTTATTCCTATTTTTAATTATAATAGGCAGCCGAAGCATACTTAGTGAGGTAATTAAATTTTTCAAAGATTCTTCTTTCCCTCTGTATTGATTAAGATATTTATTTTTATTATTTTTTTATTATCTAGTCTTTTTGAAGATACAAATCTTGCCGCCATACATGGTAAGCAAATAAATATTTGTTCATCTATATTAGATGTCATCTATTAGATTGATTAAGCTTTTATTATTTTACAGCTAAGCGCGTTACCATACAACCAAAGGATATTCAATTAGCCCGTCGTCTTCGTGGTGAACGTTCTTAAATTTTATGAATCAAATCATGATCTTTTTTTTTTGATACGATATTTTTGTCTTTTTTTTTTTTTTTTTGATTTCTAAAGTAATTCAATTATTAAGATTAGTAATTTTTCGATTATCTAACCCCTTTAAACATAGACTGTTTCTTTGGGAATTTATATTCATTGTCATATTGCCATATTTGCGTATCGTGAAAATAAAAACGTTTCATATGTTATTAGGCATTTAAAATTTTAATTTTTTGCTCAAACAAAAACCCATGATTGAAGTAATTATCACATACATATAGAGTTAGGTCGGATTTGTGGGGTAAAAATATCCGATATTAATATGATGTGTGATTATATGCCCAAAACTGTCAAAAAGATAAATGCATCATCATCAATTTTGAATAACTTTATTTCCTTAAAAATATCCCGTCGGTCAATGCCTTAATTATCATTTTAAAAATTTTGATATGCACTGGAATTTGCATCAATGAACTTTCGCCAATTTCATGCATGTTAGGGGAAAAAATAAAATTTCTTTTTGAAGATTAGAAAAAGAAAATTCGAACAAAGTGCCAAATGACCATCAACCCCAATAATTTTTTTTAACCATTTGCCATTATCATAAACGTGCTACATCCTCCAAATATCAAAAATCTCTTGAAAGCTGGGGAGCAATCTATTACAAAAAAAATAAAACCGATAGATATTGATAATTGCATTAGTATCAAAATTAAAATGATATTTGGTTAAAATGAATCCTTGTGTTGTATAATAACGAATGATTGACTGCATATATCTGCATAAAAAAAAAGGTGGCTTGCCAATGATGAAAAAGAAAGCCAGAACGTGGAATTGTTTACAATCAAACCGTAATAATTATCGCGTCAAACCTTACTTGGTTCACTCATTCTGGAGGTAATAAATATCAAAAACAATCACCTTTTCTAAATGAGTAACTTCTAATCTTATCAAGGATCCTCCAACTTCATCCTTGACTTCATTGGTCGCACGGATAACAGCCTCTATGACGAACAAATAAACAATTTATTTTCAATACATAACAAATTTCAAGTAGAAAAATAATGATGACTTACGGACTGTAAAGATACGTAAATATTCAACTGAAAGGGCTAATGCTTCTTTTCTTACTAAATAATTACAAACAAATTTATTTCATGTATCAAGATAAATAAAATGAACAATTTATTCTTTTATCAACTTTTTGTCTTTGGGTTCTTCCAAGCAGTTCTGAAAATATCGTGTAATGTTTTCTAAAATTATTGTTATTATATTTATTATATATTAACAAATACGTGGATAAATGAAAATTGTTGTCGAGAAAAAAAATAATCGATAATTTTGAAAGTCAAAATAACATCTCACCGTTTCAAAAGTAAGAAAATTTACTAATTCGTCTTGTGAAGACATTATTAAATGACTAACGAAAAATCAAAAAGTGTTAAAAAAGAGCGCGTCCAATGTATATAAATATATCACACATAATTTCTCGAGAAATCACGTGACAATTTCTCGAAAAAATTTAGTACTTAAAATGAGCGCACAAAAGAAGCGTATGTTTTTAAATTAAAAACCCATACTCAGTTATTTTTGAATGTTTATTAAATCTAATACGTTCAGAAAGAACAATTTAAAATGAATTTAATGATAGATTCAAGCTTAATATTTCTAATATTCTAATAAATTACTCAAATTAAAAAATTTCTCAAGGTATTATTTTTAGAGTTTCCGAATTAAAAAAATTTACAATCCCTTCTAATTGGTTCAAATAAAGATAAATTAAACCGATATTAAACATAAGATCAAACCGAATCTTTTTATCTAACAAAAATTCGAACCTTTTGTTTGTTTATATTTATTACGAAAATGTGCTTTTTAGAAATCCATATCCACACCAACACCACCAGTATTTCCGACCGACGTATTGGCAGGTTCCCGGGTAGGTTGTTGAATACCTTGCATGATTTGCGGTTCTTGTTCTATCATTGATTTTTGTTCTCGAGGTATTACTAGAGCTCTTGCACGACCCAAATCTTCCTGTTAATCAATTACATAAAAAATTTTAAATCTAGAAAATCCAAATTTATATATATTTTAATTAAAGATGTACCATGAATTTTGTTCTTAGATAACCAACTTCCGTAATTAAATCATTTAAAGCTTTCGCTACCATGGCTTCAGGTTTTGTTTCATTAGTAGTTTGAACTCTTATGATCACATTATGTTCTAATGGATGTGGAACTTTATATCCGGCAAAGATTACTTGTGGCTCTTGTAACAATTTGCTATCCATAATGAATGAAAAGGAAATTTGGACTTAAATTAATTGAAATCGTCAATATTTAAAAATACTTGTTTTAAACTTACTGTCGAATTACATTTCCCATAGTATGATCTTCTCGAAGTATCTCAAAAGTCGCCGCATTTTGAACTTTTGTGTCTGGTGTAATCTTCATTCTGATAAATATCAAAAATTAACAGAATTAATTAATAATGCCTAATATATCTCTATAAACTTCATAGTTGTATAATATACTCCTCGTCACCCTTTTAGTGAAAACCAAACTTGTAAAGAGTTATAAAGGTAATTTGTAAATCCTCACACGAGTAGGTCGACTTACTTTTGTGACCCTGGTGGCAAGTAAAACACATCAAACCGATCTGGTGCATTCATTTTGACGGATTTCGTTTGAAAGGAAATAAAATACAGTTGAGTGAATGTTTAAGAAAAAAAAATTAGAATATATATTTTGTCCGATAAATATAAGTATATATTCACGTGATATTTACACTTGCACGTGTGTAACCATTCAACTTTGTTATTTTATATCAAGAATTATAGAAATCAATAGTGTCGTTAACATCACAATTTTATTACAATATAATGTGATATTATAGATAAAAATAATTAATATAAAGTCAATTTACATTAAATTTACTATAAAATCCAAAATTACAATACAATTAGAAACAAAAACAAAGGTAATTTTTATGATTTTACATTTGGATTATATAAAAGTATTATTCTTTATTGTTTTTCAACCTTGAATTTTTTTCAAAAAATTTTAAGACTTTCTAAAATACAAGTTTTCACATTTTAAAGGATTTACATATTATATTTTACTTGATTATATATAAATGAGCAAATTAATTTAAAAGTTTACAAATGATATTACATATATTCACAATAATAGAAATACATATATGTGTTTGAACTAATAGGAGGACAATAGGTATCATATTTAGGTATTTTAAGTTTATCAAATATTCTAATATATAAAGTAGATTTAAAAAGTGATTATCTTTTTCTTGAAAAAAATCCATTATTTTTTACAAGAAAAATAACTGATTTTTTTATGAAAGTTAAATGAACAATAAAGAGAATTTTTGCCTTTTTAATATCTAAGATATTAAGGTATAGTTAATTTATCAATATTTTGTTTTATTACATTCAGAAAATATAATATCACTAAATAAAGATTTTTTTAGTTAATATATTATATGATGTATACTGTAACAAAATCAGATATGTGAATATTTTATTATGTGACATAAATAAAAGACTGATGTAACTGAAAGTTAATTAGATTAATGATATTTTGACTATAACTTATGTACAAATTTATAGATTGATTTTGAAATACATTTTTTAGATAATTTATATTATATAAAAATGTGACTAACACTCAATTTAGTTAAAATAAACTTTTACTTAATATTATAAATTATAACGTATTTAATATAAAATTATATTTATATAAAGTTATATAAATATAAAACTAATTTACATTAAATCCATCTTAAAATTAAAGAATTACAATACTATTAAAAGTATTCTAAAAAAAAAGCAAGAAGAAAAAATTACTCTATATATTTTTAAAATTAATAACATTAAAATCCTTCAAGAATATTTAATAAAGAAAAAATTACTTATGAGATTTATCAAAAAGAATAAAAAATAATAAATAATAAACAAACCTTACCTTTAATTCATAATAAACTAGAATTAGATATTGAAATCTATATAAATTGAAATTGATTTAGATTAGACAATAGTCAAAAATTAATTTTAGAATTATCTTTATTTGTTGAAATCCTAAATCTAAAACTGATATCAAAATTTGAAATTGATATTAAAATTTAAAACTGATGCTAAAATTTAAAACTGTTACCAAAATTCAAAATTGATATTAATATATATTAAAATTTAATAATAAATTATCCTTTAAAATTTATATTCAATTTTAAGATTTTAAATTACTTATTTATTATTAGATGATTAGCCTTATATAATAAATAAAATAAATTTAGAATTGTATTATATTTCTTGAAATTTTTTTAAAAATTGAAGTAATTGTGTTTTTAACTTTTGTGTAAATTATATTAAACAAAAAATATCAGATAAACCTAAAGTTATTAAACCTATTAAAATAATTGAAATAGAATAATAAAAGATGAAAGATTACATGTTATGTTATAGAATTTTTTTATTAAAGGAATAGATCAAGATAATAGTTACTAATCTGCAATTTGTTCTGTTTTTTTAATAATATGATATCAGAAAAAAATATTAATACTTGAATATCATGTATTAGTTAATTGTAAAAAAATTAAATCAGAAATTAAAGAAGCATTATAATATATTATAATAGTACATGAAAATTTTTTAGAAAATGTATTTAAAACAAAATGAAATATTAGTAATAATTAAAAAATATAGATGATTATTTTAAAACTAGAGGTTTATTTAAAGAAAAAAGCTAAAATAGAAATATCACTTGTCAAATTTTTTGTATATTATAACCTTTCTTAGCATTTCATAAAACATCCATTTTTTATTAACTTTGTTAAATAATTACATATACTATATGATTCACCTAATAGAAAAAAACTCTTATTTGCAATTTATTAGATGATAAGATTTTTACATTAATACAAAACTTTATCAATTACTTAAAAAAAAAGTAATTTAACTTTAGGTAAATGTATTTCATATTTTATTTATAATTTATATTCTATAATAATAATTTTTTATATATAGCATTAGATAATTGACAAACTCAACTAAAAATTTTTTATGAAATTTTATGTTTTATACTTTAGATTAAGGTTGCTTGTTTAAACTCATTTTAGATTTAGTAAAATATCTAAACTATAATTCTGCTAAATTTTTATTAAGGTTTTGATATTATTTTGCATTTTTATAAACTTTGATATAATTTTACCTTTTCAGAATTTTGTAGATTTTTTAATAAAGTTTTAATATAATTTTGTTAAATTTTACCTTTTTTCACTTAAACAACTTGTAAAACCTATAGGTTTCATCTAGCAACTTTACTTTAGATAGTAAGGATATTCTCTAGTATATATAAAATTTATTAGATTAAAGTCATATAATTAAATATCTTGCTAAAAAAATTGAAATAATTTTATATGATATTGAAATTAAAAAATTTATAGTGATTATTACAGATATTTGCTCAAATATTAATTTAACATATTAAATTATTACTCAAAAATATTCTTATATTATTAATATCATTTAACTTAATTACTAAAGACTTTATTAATCATATATTTACAACTAGAATCTTAAATTAGTTAAGTATAATAATAACTTACTTTAAAAAAAATTATTTATCTTATAAACTTCTTGAAGATAAAATTAAAAAAAAGAATATTAAAGATAAAGATTTAAAAATATAAGATAGATTATAGTATATAATATACTTTAATCAATCTATTAATAAAAATATATTTAAAAAAAAATCATTAGTAAAATTCTGATATAATTAATTATTAATAATACTATAAAAAATATTATAATAAACAAAAGAGGATTTTTTCAAGATATTTAAAATGTAACAGCAATTATTAAGCTAATAAAAAATTTGTTAATATTATATCAAAAGTTTTAATCTTTATTTTAATAAGTTTAACTTTGATAAATATTTATTTGCATAATATAGCAGACTTACTTATATTATCATATCAATCATTTGTCAATATATATAAATAAATTATTACATTATATAAAATCAATAAATCTTAAATTAACGACTTCAGTCAATATATATATAATCAGATAAACATATAATATAATATTAAAATAATAAATTAAAGATTAGGCATTATAAATAAATTAACTTAGAACTAAAATAATTAATTAAATAAATTATATAATAAATTAATTTTTTAGATTTAGGCAAAGTCATAAATATGTAGCTAAATTATGTTGGCCATAATATTTAATATTTTAAATTATATAGAATATAATATAAAAATATCATAATAAAATTTAAAAATTAGCTTTGAGTTAAGTTTTGAACATTTCATATATAAATTATATATTATTATAAATATTAATAATTTAAACTTCAAAGATTTATAAATTATATAGCTATTGTATTTGATATATTAGGTTATTATAATTTAAATTTTTTAATTAGAACTAATTAACATAAAAAATATATTAATTTTAACACTTTTTTTTATATAATTGTAAAAATTTGCTTTTAGTAATTCTTATTCAATAATAATTAGATTTTGATAAAATTTGATATTTTATTTTATTAGTTCAGAGTGAAGCAAAGAACTATATAATACTATGTAAAGTAATAAAAAATATCTTATTGTTTACCCGTTTGATCGTTAAATTAATGCAGATTGGCTAGTTACATGTTACAAATTGTTATGTGTAGACTTACACATTTGTTAATCTTTCTATACTAGTAGAGAATTTGCTTTGAACTTAATAACAATTTCTGTTTCCCTAATTATATTAATATAAAGCTACCTATAAAAAATTAACTTATATTATTATATAGGTTTTTCTGATCATAGTAAATTAACATAAAAATTTATTAACTTACAATGTTTTTATATATAATAAAAAATGAATAATAATCAATAAAATATTAATAAAAGATTGATAAATTATAATATAATTAAAAATATCTACTATACTTATTTGCATATTATTTGCATCCTGAATATTAAGGTAAATAATTATTTATTGATATTAAAAAATTAAGATGTTTTATATAATAATTAACTAGAAAACAGTAACTATTGTTAAATTCAGAACGATCTTAACTAAAAAATATTGAAAAAGCCAATCAGCATTGACTCAATTTTTGAGCAGATGGATATCAGGACACTTTATATAAATATATATAATCTTTCACTTCGTTTTAGACTAATAAAAATTTTAAAATATTTACCAAAAATCTGTTATAGAAATTAGAATTATTTAAGAATAATTTTTATAAATAAATCTATAATAGCAATAGTTTAGCAACAATTAATGTAAAACCTAAAATTTTAGTTATATTAAAACAAAATAAATGACAAATTGATGAGATACTTATGACATAATTATATAATTATTAATTATATCAACCTTCTTACAATATATCTTATAATTATAATTTTGATAAACTTCTAAAATAATAAGTAAATTTGTCAAATGAATCTACTATATCTTTAATATCTTACAGTTAAATTATTTTAAATTTTATCACATGCTATTAGTTGTGAATATATTAGATCAATTTGTGATTGAATTTATAAAACACATTACATAAAGTTATTAGTTAAAAATTTTAATATAATAGTGCAAATTTATTCTTATTATATTATAAATAATAAATTTAAATTATTATATCATGATAT